TGCGCAGCTTAGTGTTTTGGTTTGTATAATTCGAAATTTGTATAATATAATTTGTATAACTGTTTAAAGTTCAGATATTTATGTTTGTATAAATTCGTTATTTCGAGTTTATACAAAAATAGCTCAATTATACAAACGTACCTGCAAATTATACAAACTCACCCACGAATTATATAAATCCATAAATTATACAAATGAGACAACTTAAACTGTAGCTATAACCCGTAAATATGCAAACTATAGCTATGATAATTAAGTTATTATAGTGTCTATTTGCGAAAACTCCCCTTTTTTTAAAAAGAGCAACAAATGTAGCTCTCAAAGGCCCAAGCTCAAATGTGGGCCTGACCCATTGGATATCAACGGCCCACATAATAAAATCTACTAGAAATGCTGTGTTGGGGGCAAATAAATCCCCTACAGGCAGCAAAGCGTCATTTGCGATTTACACACCGAAACAACAGAGGTGAGAAAACTTCTCTCCTCTCTCTATTACTATGCTTTTATGCAATGTAAAATGCCTGTATGTTGGCGTATTGTTAGGGTTTCATTTCATTGATTTTCATCCTGTTAGTTCGATTACTTGATGCGGTACGGTGCGGTTGGCCGGTAGAGTTTTGACAGTTTTTCAGCTGTTTTTATGCTGTTTGAGGATTTGAATTTCTGTAAATCCTTCATATATTATTGATTATATGCTTATTTGTTCGTCCAGATGAGTATAAACAGTGTTAATTTTTGAATATTCAAAGTGCAAGGATAATAGAATGGTAGGTAATTTGTCAGTTTGACATTTGTGAGCTGCTTCCATGCCTTTGAAGATTTCATTTCTGTAAATCCTTCATATATTATTGATTTTCTGCTTATTAGTTCCGTCCAGATGATCATTGAACAATGTTCAAGGATTTTTCGGTTTGGCTATTCGTGAGCTGATAGTATGCTCTTATTTGTTCGTCCAGAGGAGCATTAAACAGTGTGAATATTTTGATTTTTTAAGTCCAAGGATAATAGAATGCTAGGTAATTTGTTAATTTGACATTCGTGAGCTGTTTCCATGCCTTTGAAGATTTCATTTATGTAAATCCTTCATATATTATTGATTTTATGCTTATTAGTTCGTCCAGATGAGCATTGAACAGTGTTCAAGGTTTTTTTCGGTTTGACTAATCGTGAGCTGATAGTATGCTCTTATTTGTTAGTCCAGATGAGCATTAAACAGTGTGAATATTTTGATTTTTTTAAGTCCAAGGATAATAGAATGCTAGGTATTTTGTGAGTTTGTGCCTTTGAAGAATTCATTTATGTAAATCCCTCATATATCATTGATTATATGCTTATTAGTTCTTCCAGATTAGCATTAAACAGTTTAAATTTTGGAAGTTTTGAGTGCAAGTATTTGTTGGTTTGACTATTCATGAGCTGATTATATGCTTTTATTAGTTCTTCCAGATGAGCATTAAACAGTGTAAATATTTTGAGTTTTTAACTGCAAGGATAATAGAATGCTAGGTAATTTGTGAGTTCGACATTTGTGAGATGCTTCTATGCCGTCTAAAGATTTCATTTCTGTAAATCCTTCAGATATTATTGATTATATGCTTATTAGTTCTTCCAGATGAGTATTAAACAACATTAATTTTTTGGAAGTTTTTGAGTGCAAGGATTTTTCGGTTTGACTATTCGTGAGCTGATTATATGCTTTTTAGTTCTTCCAGATGAGCATTAAACAGTGTAAATGTTTTGAGTTTTTAACTGCAAGGATAATAGAATGCTAGGTATTTGTCCGTTTGAAGATTTCATTTTTGTGAATCCTTCAGATATCATTGATTTTTTATGTTTATATGCTTGTTAGTTCTTCCAGATGAGCATTAAACAGTGTAAATGTTTTGAGTTTTTAACTGCAAGGATAATAGAATGCTAGGTATTTGTCCGTTTGAAGATTTCATTTTTGTGAATCCTTCAGATATCATTGATTTTTTATGTTTATATGCTTGTTAGTTCTTCCAGATGAGCATTAAACAGTGTAATTTTGAGTTTTTAAGTGCAAGGATAATAGATTGCTAGGTATTTGTCCGTTTGAAAATCGTGAGCTGCTTCTATGCCGTTTGAAGATTTCATTTATGTAAATCCTTCAGATATTATTGACCTTAATTCGTAATGTTTATACACTCGTTACTTCTTCCAGATGAGCATCAAACAGTGTAAACTTTTTGAGTTTCTAAAGTGAAAGGATAATAGAATGCTAGGTATTTGTTGTCTTGAAGATTTCATATCTGTAAATCCTTCAGATATCACTGAGTTTTTAAGTGCAAGGATAATAGAATGCTTATGGGGTCTTCCAAAATTGTTAGATACATATTGTGTTATTATAGGTGCATGAAACAATAAATTTTTGGAACTTTTTAAGTGCAAGGGTGACAAATTGTGAGCTGTTTCTATGCTGTATGGAACTGTGAATCAGATATTGCATTGTTTTTCTCTGTTTATATGGTCAGATACATACTCTGTTACTATAGGTGCATAATTTTCTGTAAGTTTTACGTGCAAGGGTAATGGAATGATAGTATTCCGATATTTGTCAGTTTGAAATGGTTATGGTTTTTCTGATAACAATAATTATCGTCAGTGTGGTACAATTTGGGATCTCCTTTGCACAATTGGAGTTAGTATAGGTCAAATACTGATGAGTACTATGGCTGTGTGAAGATTTTCTTTCTGGAAATCCTTTGATATTGCATTGATTATTTCTGTTTGCATGCTTATTGGTTCTTCCAGATGGTTAGATTCACCCTATGTTATTATAGCTTCATAAAACAGTCTGAAATTTTGAAAGTTTTTAAGTGCAAGGAAATAGAATGTTTGGTGTTTGTTGGTTTGACAATTTCTGAGATATTTCTATGTCGTGTGAATCAAATATTGCATTGATTTTTTCTGAATTTATGGTCGTTGGTTCTTCCAGATGGTCAGCTCAGATTCATACAATGTTATTATAGGTTCATAAAGCAGTGTAATTTGTTGGAGTTAGTAAGTGCAAAGATAATAGTAATGCTAGATATTTGTCAGTTTGACAATTCATGAGATGTTTCTATGCTGTATGAATCTGCATTGTTTTTTTTTTTCTGTTTATATGCTTATTGGATCTCCTGCTGGTTAGATACATACTATGTTATTATAGGTGCACAAAACAATGTAATTTTTTTGGAGGTTTCTAAGTGTAAGGATAACAGAATGCTAAGTATTTGTCAGTCTCAGTCGTTTGTGGTTTTGATGATTACAATATTATCGTCAGTGTGGTAACAAGTGTGTTCTCCTTTGCACATTTGACCATCCGGAATTAGTATATGTCAAATATGTGTTGAATACTAGGGCCGTTTGTGTTGTTAGATCATCCAAATAGATTTTCAAAACAGGATTTGTACTAGCTGTTGTGTAGGAATGGGTGCCTGACATTCTATTTTTGTTCTGACGAGGCTATTTGAAAGAACATGCAGTTTCCCTGTGATAGGGCTACATCCTGTAGGTCCATCTGTCTGTGAATGTCATCGATTCTGTATGAATAGATAGGGAATTAGCATTATCTCAGTTATTTGGCTGCACATTTTTTTCTCTGGCCTAGCTGTCCTGTAAATTTGATTTTCTTATGGCAAGGGACTGGTTGATAATTGCAGAAATTTCGAATGATGCTGGAGTTAACCCTAATTGGATGTACATGGTTTCTAAATTCTTCAAATGCATCAATATCCATTTGATTTGAATGTAGCTTGATTTGTTAATGACAGGAATATTTTGAGAAGAAAATTGAGATGGCAGCCAGGAATGCTTTCAGATATGTTTCTCGTAGGCTCTCTAGCAGTGGCAAGGTATTAAGTGAGGAGGAAAAAGCTGCTGAAAATGTCTACATCAAGGTAACTCGTTAGTTGTGATTTGTAACTTACCTGTCTTGTGTAGTTACTGCAGCTGCAACTGTATTCGTTTCATTTTGGTAGTCCCAGAAAATTATTTTGCATTTTGTTAGTGTATTATCTCTTTTTGGCAAAATGGATCTTTGCTTTCTTTTTGATGTTCCATTTTCTCATGATCTCATTTTGCTCACTTTGCATTTGCATGTAGTATGTATACCTTCTTTCTTGGGGTCTTGGGGCAATTCTATTATAGTAAATCTTGGGTATTCTTTTATGATTATCGCTTTTGCTGTTTTTGGGATCATAAGTTGCAAGTGTAAGTGGACACTTCGTTCTGATTTCTGAAGTGTTCAGTCATGAGATATGTTGCGTCAAGTCTGCTTTCTCGCTTATCTAAATGTTAATTTTTTCACATTACAGAAAATGGAGAAAGAGAAGCTGGAGAAGCTTGCTCGCCAGGTATGGGAATTTTCGATATTTATATATAGATTTATTTATATTTATATATATATAGCAATTCATTGTGCTCAGCCTTCCACCCAACACCTTGTCTCCTCTTTAGGCGTTTTTTCACCCTTGATAATTTTACTAGTTGGTTGAGAATTGACAACTACAAAGAGCGGGTTAAGACTAGGGTTTACTGAAAATTAATTGGTGTTATCAGAATAGCGTTTTTGCTGATTCCATTTTGTATATCTTAGAGGAAGTCTACTGAGTCGGTGATAAGTTGCCATGTTACTATAGATTGTTGCTTGTCATATTCTCCTCCCTACCATTTTATGTGTTGATATTAGATACCCTCCAATAGTTATCGCCATTTTGTCCTTAAGGTTGTCGCCATCTCTTTTCAGACAGGTTGGGGGTTCTGATAATAGCTTGGAGAGGTTACTGACTGCTTATGCGCATTGAACCCATCATTTCAAGATTCACTTGAAATTGTCCAGTTTGGAAGTGGGCTGACCTACTTGTGCAATGTCAGGACTCTTGACATGTTCAAAATTCTTATGAGCATTGAACTGACTTTAGTTGAAATAGAAGTGGGCTCATCACCTTCAGAAATTTAACTTGCACGATGTTGGATAAAGAAATGAAATACATGGATAATGAAAAAAAACACTCAATTCAACAGACCAAGATATAACTCTAAAGTTGACCCTCGTTAGTTCAATGGTTTTCAATATTAAACCAGGCCAAGTGTTAAAAAGTTCTTAGCTTAATGCACCTTTCGCGTTAAAAAGCTCTTGGCTTAATGCACTTCACGGTAAAAAAAGAAAAACTGTCGGGGCTATTTGTTGTGTATCTTGAATTTTCTCCAGCTCGAGTCCCTTTTGACCCCTTGAAATTTCTGCTGTTGTGATTAATATTCCTCAGGGTCCCAAGCCAGAAGAACAAGCTGCAGGTGGCTCAGGGTCAGTAGCTGATGCTGCATCAAGTGCCCAGGCCTCTTCAACATCCAGAGTATCAGATGACAAATACCGCAACTATGGTGTTCTAGCTGGACTGATCACTGGTGTTGGTGCTTTGGGTTGGTACTTGCTGTCCAAGGACAAGAAGGCAGAAGAAGTACAGGATTGAAGTATCTCTTAATAAGCAAACTCCTTAAAAGACAAAAAAATAAATAAAGCAAACTCCTGTTTCGAAAACAGTACCCTAATCTCTTTTCCTTCTGTATGGTTCTCCACCATCTGGATGTACAAAAATCCCCAGAACTGGTGTACATTTTACAACTGCTGAACTGGATGACGTTCTATGTGTGTTGCTTCGTTGACATGATCACATCATTTTAGAGAAGAATTTCCTCGATTCGTTTCATGTATTCCCCCCTTTACCTGTTTATACCATGGAAAGAATGCAGTCCATCCCGACCTGTTGGGATAGTAGTTGTTTCCATCCATGGTTAGTGTGATTTGGTCTCATAATCTTCCCTTGTATCTGTTCTTGTTTTCACTTCTTTTTTTAATTATCTGTCACCATTATTGTGAGAGCTTAGGCATTCACCTTTGACTATTCAGAGTGAATCGATCTCTAAGGAACCCCCGAAAGTGCTGTGGTACACGATAGTGACGAAGTTGCTTCGACTTTAGAATCAGTCGTTAAACAGATATCTTCTATCTGCCCTATCTTTGTTTTTATTTAATATTCTTTTTGATTGTCTGATATCTTTTTGTAGATTAAGTGCAACTTAGATGGACACTAGCATAAAGTGTAGTGTTCGACTTTGTCAGACAACTCAACCACTCTACACACATATTTTATAAGGGCATTGTCTGCACGTCTGCAACTTTGCAATACTTATTTGTTGGTCTGATTTTCTGATTTAAAAAAGTTAGATTGCAAGAGCATATGCTACAAGAAGAACATTATAATAAAAGCAAATGGAATTTATTTATTTCCCTTCAAAGTAGTAGGGTCTTTACAGAAAAGGAATTACAAAATGCAGTTGCAAATTGGGAAATTAAAAATAATTTAGTAGGCATTAATTCAAGCAGACCCTTTAACCTTCTTAAAAATAGCAAAAATTGCACCAAGCACAGCTACTACAGCACCTGATATCAAAAGGGTTGCCTTCAGATCTCCTTCTCCTCCTTTCTTTTCCTCCTACAAAATTATTGAAATTTAGAGAATGACAAAACCAAATAAATTTAAAATTATTTTTTAAAAGCACGCCTAGACGGCTCAACTTGATGTCAACTGACAACTAAACACCGACATCGATGTAACATATAAATTTAGAGGTGTCTTAGATGATGTCTAGATATACATACTCAAAGTTAAAAGTGATTATTTGCCTACTAAGGTCAAATTTGAGTGAGTTTAATTGACTTTAGCAACTCTTTAATTACAATTTTTTCACCTTGCGACCACAAAATTAAAGAGCATTTTAGTATATTTAAAAAATGACCCATAATAAAGTACAATATATTGTTTAATTTCTTAAATTTCATGTCAAATCTAAACAGAACAAACAAATTGAAACATAATAAAAATTTAGGGGGGAAAAGGGTTATTACCTTGATTTCCTTAGATATTTCATCAACAACGGCAGCTACCGCCTCCTCCGATGGTGGTTCCGGCGCCGGCGCCGGTTGAGCTGAAGGTTCGATTGTTCCTTCTGGAGTTGCCATTTTTTTTTCCAACTTTGGTTACTATTGAAGAATTTTAATTTTTTTTGGTTCTTAAATTATTACATTTATAAAATTTTATAATATTTTTTGTCATTATTTATCGTGTGGTGTAGATAATAAAAGGATAAAAATTGTCATCTTTAAATTTGAAACGCGTGGAGCACAAGTGTCTTTGTTTCTCACATTTCACGTGTCTTTTTTTTTTTTTTTGTTATATATAATTCAATCATGTTAACAAAAGTCCAAAATATTACTTACTTTTAGTAATATTCTTTTTTATCCTTTAATTATCTTTTTGTTTCTTTTGATTTTATATTCGTTTTGTTTAAAAGTATATCCATTTGCTACCATTTTGGGTTAATTTCAATTTCATGTGTGATTACTCGAAAGTATTAGTTATTTTGGATAGTGATAAAAGGATAAAAAGAGAAACTATATAATTAAACACACTTCACAATTATTATTATTAATATTATTTGTACTTTTAAAATATTACTATTTTATCACTAATTAAGAGTTTCCTACTTAAATATTAAGGAAGATACACTTAATTAAATACATGTAGTTTTACTACCAGATACACTAAAATAGGGAGAGAGGCGAGCGAAATTTGTTACTTATATCAAATCCACTTAGATACAATGTAACTAGAACAAATTATATCTAATTTTGACATTATATATCACGAAATATATGTATCTAAACATATCAAAATTTGATAAAATATATAATATTACAAATTAGAGTGTATGTTAATAATTAGCTTATAAATTAGTGAAATTTATGTCAATTTTCCACAGATAAATGGACATTGGTATAGTGAGTTGATAGTTATTTTAGTTAAAATGAATGAGGTTATAGGGGAAAAATAATTTAAGCGACATTTATGATGTTAAAGGCACACATAGATTGATAGTATAACATTAAGAATATATATGGATGATAGTATGATAGGGCTCATCCATATAGACGATTTGTGATCGATCTCTTTCAATATTTTATGAATTGAGTTTATCGCATAAAGCTTACCTAATGTGATTTATATTTTATGTGTGGTTTATATGCTATTACACAATAAATGATTTATTCAGTGCACATAAAGTGCTCAAATGTTCACCCGAAGGATAGAAACTGTTGCAGATATTATAGCAACAACGAATTATCTTGTGGTTTCGAGAAAAAAAATTCAATAGTAAAGGATAAATATGACCCATTTAACTTGTTTGTTTTTTTTGTTAAAAACGATTCAACCATTTAATTAATGGGTCTGATTGATTAAGTTATGTAATAAAGTCTTTATATTATAAAATATTTTTACAAAAAAAAAATGAAGTTTACCAAGTCTATTTGTCTAATCCTAACGTTACTGTGCATCATTATCAACTATCATCATTGTTGTTTATCATTACCAACTACATAGTACAACTTACAATCACAATATATCACCAACCATTCTCATTATTTATCACTATCATTAGCGATCACTATATATTATTCACCACAATTATCAATTGTGCGCCATCAACCCATCACTTATAACTATCACCACATCACTACTAGCTATTGTCTAGACCCTATCATTGGCCATCATCTTCTGTCGACATTCATGATTATCATCATTTATTATTTAATATCACAATATATCTTGATACAAATATTTAGATTCATATATCTAAATTTCAATACACATGTTAATATATAAATATATATTCAAAAAATTTAGACATCTTAAATTTAATAAAAACAAATACAACTCAAGTCCCACATAAACAAAGCTTAAATTGAGTTACCCAACTATTAAACATAAATTTAAATAACCTTTTCCAAGAGAAGCACTATTGTAATTTAGTAATAAAAAAAAAACATTAATCTATGGTTGCTTCACCAAATGGAGAAAAGCTTCAAACAAATAAATGATGAAAAGCTTGAAAGTCACTCCTTAATTCTTTAAAAAGCTTAAAAAACAGTTTCAACTTACAACTTCAAAAAGGAGCAAAGTTAGTAATCTTAGGTTATAAGATACATAATAATTAAATTTTGGATTAATGTTGAACAAAAATTAATTGTTATTGTTGTTATGAGACCATCATGTCTTAATTGTTTGGAATATAACTTATATTGTGAAATAGATGTTGAATGAGGTTAATAATTAGTCATTAATTGAGTGGAAGAATTATGATGATATTTATAGAAGATCAATAAAAATAACTATGCATTGATTCTAGAAAAGATTGGACTATTTTCTATCAAGATAACATAAATTCTTTAACGGTCTTTCATTTTCTAATTAATAGATTACTTATTATTTTAAAAAAATAAGGTTTGGTGCTTCTAAAGTGACAAATGAGTTGCTAGGAAAAGGTTTTTTGATTGAATTAAAATTGTGAGATAGTTCGATTTTCTAGATTTGTATATCAACCTAGAGTAGGTTTATGATTTGTAAATTGAATATCTCTTAGTTCTTCAAAAAATTTATATTCTTCTAAATTTAATGAATACTTATTCATATTGAATAATTATACCAAATCAATTCAACTTATCTCGTTTAAGTAAGTAAAAAGAGAATATATACTAATTAACCATGATTTGAGTAATGAAAGTCTATTTGCAAACTATAAATACATTTCATGCATGTATTGATTTAACGTAAACATTAGATACATGTGTAAATATTATTTACTTAAGGATATAGCCACGTGATAATGACTTGAGAACTATAACATCTCGAGTTCAGATTGAAGTGAACAATTCACTAGGTGATTTTTCCCCCCATATTTGTCAAAAGCTTTGATGGATAAGCTTACTTAATATTTACGTTGATAAAAAATAATAGATACTCATAAAATTGATTGTGGTACGTAAAAATAAATCCGAACCCCATAATTATTAAGACAAAAACACTTAACTATGATAACTACACGTCCATTCAAATCTCTTTTACAATAGTGTCGTTTATTTTAGTAATTTTTTATTGTTATATTAAAATACAATTATAAAAAAAAAAAAATGTAACAAAACATAACATGAAAAATTGATTTCACAAATAAATATAATATTATAATAAAATATTGTTAGAGAATACTGTTACTGAAAAATTTGACTATAATTTATTATGTAAATTATGAACATTGAGTGTTATTAATATTTCTTTTTCTTCAATGCTCTTTAAAGTAAAGCTTTTTGTTTTTCTCTATCATATGTATATTCTCCTCAAAAACTCTAAAATGAGTTAAAAGCTTA